GGTTGAGAAACACTGCTGTGGTAGAACATCTCGCCTAACTTCGAACATTAACTCTTTATATATGAAACTGTGGGCATAATCATTGTCTTCCCCCTCCAAGACAAAGAGAAGAATTGACCAGGAAGGAATCCCTGCTGTGTTCTGCTGTGAACAAAACCACTTTGAGGGAAAGGTGGGACATAAAAAGGTAAAGGTTTTCCCCTGACATTAAATCCAGTCGTGTCCAACTCTGGGGATTGGTCTTTATTTCTAAGCCGAAGAGCTGGTATTGTCCGTAGACACCTCCAAGGTCATGACTGCATGGAGCTCCGTTACCTTCCCGTTGGAGCGGTATAGAATATAGTTGGAAGAGACCTCATGGGCCATCCAGTCCAACTTCCTGCCAAGAAGCTGGAAAATTGCATTCAAAGCACCCCCGACAGATGGCCATCTATTTAAAAGCTTCCAAAGAAGGAGCCTCCACCACACTCCGGGGCAGAGAGTTCCACTGCTGAATGGCTCTCACAGCCAGGAAGTTCTTCCTAATGTTCAGATGGAATCTCCTTTCTTGTAGTATGAAGCCATTGTTCCGCGTCCTAGTCTCCAGGGAAGCAGAGAACAAGCTTGCTCCCTCCTCCCTGTGACTTCCTCTCACATATTTATACATGGCTATCATGTCTCCTCTCAGCCTTCTCTTCTTCAAGCTAAACATGCCCAGTTCTTTAAGCCGCTCCTCATAGGGCTTGTTCCTATGAGGAGCGGTACCTATTGATCTACTCACATTTGCATGTTTTTGAACTGCTAGATTGATATATGCATGCATAATGTGGTGTCCACAACTGCAGACTGTGGCCTCATCTACATTGACCATTTAATGTAGTTTTGAATTGGTGTTGAAAGTGATTTAGCTGTGCAGATGGAGCCCCCGGTGGCGCAATAGGTTAAACCCTTGTGCCAGCAGGACTGAAGCCCGACAGGTTGGAGGTTTGAATCTGGAGAGAGTGCGGATGAGCTCCCTCTGTCAGCTCCAGCTCCCTGTGCGGGGACATGAGAGAAGCCTCCCACAAGGATGGTAAAACGTCAAAAAACATCCGGGCATCCCCTAGGCAACATCCTTGCAGACGGCCAATTCTCTCACACCAGAAGCGACTTGCAGGTTCTCAAGTTGTTCCTGACACCAAAAAAGAAAAAAAAAGCTGTGCAGATGGTTCATAGGAAATCCTGGAAGCAGTTTGAGGCCTGGATGGTGATGACACAAACCACAGCACACCGATGCACAAATAAGGAAAAAATTCACATGTTTTTGTGGGAGCTAGCTTCAAACTGCATTAAATTGTCAGTGTTGATGGGGCCTTAGAACCCTTCTACACTGCTATATGATCCGGATTATTAAAGCAGATCATCCACATTTGCTTTGAACTGGATCTTATGTATTTATTTATTTATTTATTTATATACTATATTTATACCGCCCTACACACACACACACATATACACAAACAATATATGATATTATTAGCATAGTACAATATTAGCATTATATATTACTATTTTGTACTATACCATTATATTGTAATATTATTAGTAATATTACATGTAATATAAAATATATAATTATAATATCATATGAGTCTACACTGCCATATAATCCAGTTCAAAGCAGATAATCTGGATTTTATATGGCAGTGTAGAAGGAGCCTTAGGTCCCTTCCACACAGCCATATAACCCAGAATATCAAGGCAGATAATCTACAGTATCTGCTTTCAACTGGATTACTTGAGTCCACACTGCCATATAATCCAGTTCAGTGTGGATTTTATACAACTGTGTAGAAGGGGCGTTCATTGCAAAGGCTTTACCCTACTTTAAATGTGTGACAGCACAAGACGTACCCGTGCAGATCAACATCATTGCTCTGGAGAGAAGATCCAAGCATGAAATAAGATACATGGGAAATGTAATCGACAAAACATGTCACCTGACTCTTCAGAAGCAAAGCGAAATCCAGTTCAAAATAAATTCAGGAAAACATGATTCTGTCTAGAA